ATGGCGGAAAAAGACGTGCGGTGTGCACCACACAGCGACAATAATGCTTAGCACAGGGCTGCAGTGGCTTCGAAGACAGCGTCTCGTCCTGGCGCTGGCGGACGGCCCTCTCCGACCGCAGCGACTTGTGCGAACGCGAGCTCCAATCGCAGCGAATTTGTGGCAGCAAAATGCCGTACAGAGACGCAGTTTTGCGATGCCTGCTGCCATCCTGAACCAAATGGACCTGTTGGGACGCCGCTACGACGAGCTGGCGCACGAACTGTCACAGTACGTTGCTCTATTGCTTGCTGCAAGATAGTACTTGAGATAAGGTAGCGTGCTAATGTGGTTATGGTGACGCTGGTGTAGCAATGACGGCAGCTTCTCATCAGACAAGATCACGAATCTGTCCATTGAGATGGCGGAGCTAGAGCCCAAAGTAATGGCAGTGCGCGAGCTGCAGAGCCAGCAAAATGCAGTGGAGGAACTGGACGAGATGATCGCCGAACAGGCGGACAGCGAAGACCCGGACGCTCTGGAGCTGCGTCACATGGCTGAAGAGGAGCGTCGTGAGCTACTTGAGACAATTAACAAGCTTGAGGGCGAGGTGGTGCGTCTCATGCTCCCTCGCGATGAAGCAGACGATAAAAGCTCGATCTTGGAGATCCGCGCTGGCACCGGCGGTGACGAGGCTTGCTTATTCGCTGCAGACATCCTCAAAATGTATCAGAAGGTGGCACTGACCAAGGGCTGGAAGTTTGAGCTCATGAGCATCTCGGAAACGGACTTGGGTGGCGTGAAGGAGTGCGTCTGTTCTCTTACAGGTCGTGGAGCCTACGGTCGCATGAAATTTGAGAGTGGCGTGCATCGTGTGCAACGTGTACCAGTGAACGACGTGCGTGTGCACACGAGTGCGGTGTCGGTCGTTGTGTTGCCTGAAGCTGAGGAAGTGGAGGTGGAGATCGACCCCAAAGACCTCCGTATTGATGTATACCGCGCGTCAGGAGCTGGCGGGCAGCACGTTAACACTACCGAGAGTGCTGTGCGTATCACACACATTCCTACTGGCATCGTGGCGGCGGTGCAGGATGAGCGGTCACAGCATCAGAACAAGGCCAAAGCTCTGAAAATTCTACGTGCGCGTGTGTTCGACGGTATCCGTCGGAAACGCGATGCTGAGCGTCAGACTATGCGTAACTCGCAAGTGGGCTCAGGTGACCGCTCGGAACGTGTACGCACCTACAACTTCCCCCAAAGTCGCGTGAGCGACCACCGCGTGAACGTGACGGTGTTTGGCATCGAGCGAATGCTGAATGGAGAGCTGCTGGACGAGATCGTGGACGCTCTGGTGGTGGACGAGCAGAACCACCTGCTGCAACAACTTGAGACACCGTAGATCGTAGAACATGTAGATCATGTTGAAAACGTAGAACCCACTTTGCATCGAGCGCTGATGCGACGAGAATGTGTGTGTGCCTTGAAGGCAATGCAGGTGTTTGGTAGTATTATGGCGTGACCCATTACCACACTCGGAGTCACACGCATGTGTATAGTTACATACCAGACTCCGGTATGTCTCGCATAAAAATCCAGCACAAGACGAGGATATCCAAGCAATATGGGATGTACGATTAGTTGAGGCGCGTAATGAGTTACGCTAAATAGTCGACGGCGGTCTAAAATATCTTGCCTACAATAAAATAACGAGGTGTTCTCACTGGGCCAGAGCTGCCACTGCGCTATGCCGGTCCTGGAAACCGAATGAGAAGCGGCGACTGAGACCCACGCCCATACTGACACTGATGCTGCCGCGACGCTTCTTGGAGAATTGCTGGTTGTGGCGTCTCACCTCTCGTTGCATCGAAATGCTGCGCGAAAAGCCCAACGCGGAGCGGTTCTTGGCCTGCTCGGCGTCCACGTCAAAGAACTTGGCGATAAGCGAGAGCAGCTCACAACCGCGTACACGACAGGTTTGCAGCTGGATCGGGTTGCAGAGATTGAGACGCATAGCCATCTTGAGGAAAAATTGGTCCAGCTCACTGGCACGCGCCTCGAGCTTGTGCTGTGTGAG